GCTGGCGGAACAGCTGATCGCCGTGTTGTAAGCGCCCGCGTAGCGCCTTCCGTGTCTGCGGACCTTCATGACCGGCCTAGTACTGCCATGATGCACTTAACTGCTGTTACGCCGTGATTTGGGGCTTGTCGGGAGGGTTGTTTTGGAGCTACGCCAAGACACGTTTTTGTTAGTTGTTGAAGTTAGCGCGAAAAGTCTGTGCCATATCGTTCGTATCAGTCGTTTTACCGCTTCAACAACTGCAGGAGAACGAGCTGGCAGTGCTCGAACGTTAAGCTTTACTATACACGCCCCATTCATTCCTTCCAAACAAGGTCGTTGGAGAAAATTATGAGTATAGAACAGCGGCATTGGCATTGATAGTGATCTGATAATGAATGCGAGAGAGGGAAATTTCAATGGCCTTTCTCCTTTGTTCGAAGCTCTTTTTATTTCAGGATTCTTATCTCTTAGTTCATTCCAGGAAATGACAACCTCCCATAAATTCTTTTGGGTTGCAGGTTGCAGCGGCCCGTCATGAATGAATTAGTGTTTTCACAACCCTGACAGCAGCAACGCCGCTTCAGAAGGCGTAGCTCTGCGAAAGCGAGAACATTCCGCTCACCAGGAAAGGTCAACAGGTCAATATGGCCATATGCAGTAAGATGCACATCATTGTACTCATCTTGAACGGTGAACACAAAACTATCTTCGAAAATTCGCGGAACGATTCTCTGAGCGGAGTTATTGAGGTTTTTCTTTACTGCTTTTCTTCTTCCGGGCGCCGAAGCGCCGGCACCTGTAGCGCGACTCACAGCGCTCCTCGCGCAGAATAGCTGTTTATGTTGCTGTGTTAAGGGAGTCAAATAGCCCCCAGAGACGATCACCTTAGCGAAATCTGAGGTTCTGACTCAAATTTGAAAAAAACCGGGGTATGGATAGTCATGGCTCACTGATAGCCAACAGCGATACTACGACTAACATACTGGTGATAACTGGTCTTGGAACTGGAATAACTCTTCAGTCATGTCTTTCCGCAAAGAACAATACCTGGCTTACTTATTCGTGTCGTCTGGATAATTTTCCTGATTACCGGCAGACATTCCATCCCGAGACCAGCCATCCATGATAGGTGAGCTCCTAAGTGCTGCTAATTACCCATGGAATAACTCACATTTTCCAAGAAAAGTCGAAATATCAGGTTCTGCTAGAAACTCGTTCCCAGGAGTACTGACCCGCTGGAGCAAGCACATGCACTCTTCTCAGGCCATAATGGGTCTACACTTTCGAAAAAAAACTGGTCGCAGTTTCTTACAGGATAGTGCAGGCGAGCAGAGATGTTAGAAGCTTTGTCGGCCATGTTCTTGGACAAATGGCAAAACAGAAACTGTCGCCTATTAAAACCGATCGCTATCCGTTGCGCTCTACTGCCACGTTTCAAGTGGACTCCATACGTATATATGTAAAGACGCTTCCACGTTTCCTCGCGATAGCATGTGAAACAACCACGCGGGGATAAAACCCTCCATAACTCCGTTCAGAGAGTCGTTCCGCAAATTCTGAAGGTAGATTCGAGTTCACGTCCCAAGACTCGTACAACGGTGTGCACCTCATTGGAAATGGCCGGGCTGACCTGTTGACCTTTCCTGGTCAGATTATTCAAAAAAAACGATGAGCTTTTCTCAGTAGGTTATGATTTCAATGAAGGCATCTAACGGATACTTCCGCTTTAAATTCTTTTAGCAATGCAATACTCGTACAAGTGAAGTAATAGCATTTGAATGGGCTTGTGGTCATTGTCCCCAGGAAATGTTCTAACTCATATTATAGGTACACTCGAAATCCCTGAGATGTGGTAGGCGTGGCTGCGTACTTCAGCCGAATGTGGTGGTGATTGTTTTTTGTGAGATATTTTCATTTTGACACAACTGTGGCTGTGTCCCTGTGCAACACAGAACAAGGAGCCAGTTGTCTCAAAGTGAAATTTCCCAGGAGTAATCCATTTTGTGCCATGTTCAATTGCCACGCCTACTCCGTCTCAGGGATAAGGATTGTATAGGCGCAAAAATGTGAGGCGTTACTTTCACATTGCAGCTATTTGCACAAATGGTTGGATTTCCTAGTAAGTTGTCTTGTCACAGTTAAGCATGGCCACGTTGAATCCACTAGCTTGTGGTGCAAATGCCGCGCACGCGACACCACTTCCCACTCCTCTCTTTTGCTCATTAGCTCTGCAATCCGTTGCACTCTGCAAAAGTACCAACCGACCTTCTCGTCTCCTCACCTTTGCAGCTTGTCTACCTCTTTTTCTATCCTCTCCTCTCTCTCAGTGTATATTTTCTTGGAACACTTGTGTGAATGTAAGGATTTATTTGAGGCGAGTTTGAGGCTTTACCTTCTATATTTGTCATTTAAATCTGTTGAAATTCACAAATTCACGTTTGGAGCCTAAAGCCCACGAAGTGCTATTTTCAATTCACTGTTTTTTCAAGAAAATTTGTTGTTCTAGGAACAACGTATAAAAGCAACATAGGGAATTATTGTAGCAAGGATATTCAATCGAGGCCCTTAAAATGCAGCTACATTCCAGAAACGCTTTCAAAATTGCGGTTTCACGGCCACCCTCTGGAAGTAAGCAGGTGCTCGAAACGACGATATTTTTCATGGCCGATTTATTGAGTTTCAAAGGGCGTGCTTATATTAGGTTATTCCCGCCATAACAGTGGCTTGTATCGAATTCCAGTTGAAATTCTAATTTTATAGCCGCTGCAATTGACTTTCGTTGAAGCGTTTGTGATCTTGTAGTGCCCTTCATGTTAGGAGCCTTGTACTTGATGACTTAGCGCTGAAGAATGTCCCTGATTTGAAGCCACATTAGGCTCTCCTTCAAGACATACCGCGCGATTTCATTTTGTGGGTAGCAGCTCACAATACGAATATGAACCGTTATCGAACGTTGTAGTCGGCCAAATGGCCTCTAAGGAAAAAGCTCGCGGAAGAAAAAAAAACTAAGAATAAGTCATTAGGAATTACCGTTAAGGACCTTCTGGCAGCCTGCGATGCACAGACTTGCCTCTTTTAAAATGCCACAAAGCGATCCGCCGCTCTCTGGCTTACATGTCTTTCTTTCGCGTCATAGCCAGCGATAATCTCTGCTATAGAATAGTTGAAAAAGAATTCGGCAAAAACAGTTGCAAGAAACCGAACTCGCTGACAGAACATTGCCTTCAAGTTTTCGGGGCGGGGCAACTAGGGAGCGTCAGAACTGCATTCTGAGAGCCGCACCGCCCCCCCCCCCCAGTTACTTCCTAAGAAGCCCGCGAAACGGGGACAATTCCAGAGAGTAAGGCATAACTACTTGTACAAGGAAGGAGGCCTACCCACTTTTGAGCGCGGGGACTGTCTTGAGGCAAATGGCCACGACGAATCGACAAGCGCTCATGAGCGTATAACGCTTCGTGGTGGGACAATGACACCGGAGTCTCCGAGCAACGGCGCTACGTTTCGCCTTTATGCAACGAAGGCCAATTCAAATACGTCTTACCGAAGCGCAGTATGCAATTATTGGGAATATAGCGATGCTGCTGTGGTCCGTAAACCCCATCGAACGGGCCACCTACAAAGGCCGCACCAGTCAGTCAATTCACCACCATTCAAAAATTGCATTACGATTCTTGCAGAAAAGTGAAGCGCTCCCAGCCTCTCCAGCTGGTCTTTCACTAACAGACTGAATGTGTTTTTGAACCTCTCCAGAATTCCATTCTGGAGTAAGCAAGTTTCTAATGAATGCACAAATGGTCTTTCCTGGGCAGTACGCGGCAAGGCCGCTTGCCCCAGCCCGAATCCAAGCCTCTATCTCCGGGGAACGCTAAATTGGCTACGATCTTTCGTCTAGTGGATAAACACTGACTTGGTTACATCGGCTGGCACCCATTTATGTATAGTTTCACACGCGAAATTCAATAAAGCCACTACGATTCTGAATGGAAGTAGTATTGCGTGCGGCGTTCACAAAGGATGGATTAAAAGGCGAAGACTTTTATCTTTATCTTTTTACTCAAGGTTGTCGTGTAATCTTCACAGCGCTGTTCCGATCCGGCCTGAAGGCACTAGAGCAGCGAATGCCATAGTTTGGGCACGTACTGAGGAGGCCTGACAACCTGTGAGGACCACCCGGTAAGGAAAGCGTTCTACTTCGGAGTACAGGGCAAGCGACCACGAGGAGCTTCAGAGAAAGATGCAGGCGACGTTGTCAAGAAGGATCTCAGTGAAGTGAATGCCGCGCAGAAGATGCAGTGGATCGGAAAAAAGCTAGGAGAAGGAGAAGATTGCAAGGTTGCTTTGCTAGTTTACTTCTACTTGATTACCGCGAATCTTTGATCTGCGTTTCATAGTAATACCACTAGAAGTCTCTGTTTGTGTTGAGGACATCTTTTGGATACTGCGTTTGCTGCTGCTTGAAATAATGTATTTTCGTGAACGTATGGGGGGTTTTTAACAGATGGCTGGGCTACGTGGTTCAGAACTCAATACTGTTTGATGTTCCACCCATTCAGGGTCAAGTATTTGGAGCAGCACATAAGAGACGTAATGTGAGGATGGCCTGGAAGAGATTTGAGACAAGGGCTTAATCCCCTGGCCGTGTTTGAGGGAGCGTCCTCATTTGAGAAGCCAGGGGCATGAACCTTGCTGTTGGGAGAAACATGAAAGCTGGCAAGCTCAGATGAGTAGGAAGCTCTTTACTACCACGTGCCTGTGGTGCAGGACGGGTCCACTAAAATCCTACAGTGGGGTTTAACTCGGGTTTGGTCATAGTTTAGAGGGCTAACCTGAGTCTAGCTTGTTCTTTGCTTGTAACTCCTGGACCACTTTCAGGCCGGCTAAAGTCTAACAAACAGGTTTGCTTTGAAGTTTTAACAAGAATTTTATCACGTAACAGCAATTTAAATGCTTGCGTGGAAGAAATGGACAACAGACGCGTTTATGTTCTATAGTATGACAAATATAATGTAAGTACAAAATTAAGGGACTGTGTAGAGTCGATGGCGTTCATCGTGATCTGTTGCATCGTCTACTTGCGCCCGAAACGCAGATATTCGTGCTTTCTCTTTCCGAACCTGAAAATTCTTAGAAATTATTGGAAGAATAACTGGTAGCCTCTTAATGTTTCATAATGAAACGGAGTTTCTCAGAGCGTTGTTTGACGTACACTCCATATCCCATGATGGGTGAGGGGGGGGGGGCGTGGCTGCGCACTTCACCTGAACGTGGCGGCAGCTGCGCTTCATTCGGAATGTTATTGTTCTGGGAGGCTGTAATCACTCCTCTGGTATCCATAAGACAGGATGGTAGCTCGAATAAAAAATCTCCAGCGCAAAACCCATCGTGCACCACCTTCCAATAGAGTACTCAGCCACGCCCTCCCCATCTTCGAGATATGGAGTGTATTCTTTAAAAGGACCACGAACTTCTTTGGGCTCCTACAGCGTCATAACTTCATGCGGTGACAACCACACCTAAAATGGTGGGTGCTAGGTTCTTGGAAATCTGCACCTCAACCTTACCGGTATAGTGTGATAACTATTACACCACCGAGGCCGCCTTCCACTCTCTCGGCTTTATAATTTTTATGCCCTAGCCTTAGGATCTAGAATCATTCCCAGAGAAGTACTAAAGTTATTCTTGATTAATTCTTATGTGCAAATCCCTCAAAACCCTTCAAGAAGGGTGGCCCCAGGCAGAATAGCTGGGTGTTTTTTTTGCAGAACGAGGCAATCCTGCGAAATCCGTCCATGCAGGACCTGCGGGACCATCTGGTCATAGCATTAGAAGGATAAATTCTTCAATTCACACGGGAATTGAACCCAGGTCCCACGGGTGATGAGTTTGCCCCTTGCCACGGCGTACTACCTCCGCCTATGTTATGGCATTAGTGTTAGGTTTCTTTCGAATCTGTGTGAAGGCGATGAACGATCTGGAATGGCCGACGTTTCTCGCACCCTTTTGAATTCATTAAAAGCAAGTAATAGCGTCTGGATCCCATTTTATCCTGGAGGCCCGAGAGTAGGCAGAACCTCTGGTCTTTTTTTGTGGTGCATCTGTACTTTGGCTTTTGTACTGCTGATTCCTAGAAGGTCTGGAAGGCTTCTTGCTCAGAAACCGAATATCACTAGTGAACAGCTTTCATCAGTAAGCGCTGGATTTTTCCATGTTGTCTAACTAACCTCAGATATTCATGCTTTCTCTTTCCAAATCGCAGGTACTCGTGCTTTCTCTTGCCGAATCGCAGATATTCGTGTTTCCTCTTCTCGAGGCCGTTTTCGTCTGATTCGCCTTCGGCGGCAGCAATACCTTAAAAGAAACCCTTTTAGAGTGGCTAACACAATAAATTAGCGAGTACTGTAAATTAGGTTTTTGGTGCTGATTAGCTGAGCACAAATGTACTTCTTTGTTGGTCTTCTAAAGCTTTCAAAAAATCTCGGGTCCACTAATTCGGAGATGAGGGACATTGTCTCTTGTTGAGTTCTTTCCTCGCTTTCAGCTCCTAATTGCATAAGTTTTGCCTTCTTCGAGACGATGCCATTAACGAGAGTGGTAGTGGATAGCTGAAGAAAAGCCGAAGAAAGATGCTAATGAAGCGGTTCGTTCGTCTGCGGGCCCGGTAGGTGGAAGATCTCGTAAGCCGAGAAGCAGTAAAAAGCTTTTTAGTCCACTGACTTCAGCGATTATATCGTGACTTCTGGGTTGGATGACTTTCAGATTCTTTGTGATGTCACCTAACAATGATAATAACCTACGATAATGATATACCTAGCAAGAACTCTGAGGTTATCCAGTTAGTAATGAGCACATTCACAAGCAATAGTCGCCACAGGACAACGATCAGAGATTCTCGTTCACGATGGAGCTCCCTATTTCAAAGGACCTAGAACCCGCATAAGACTGCCAGCGCTGAGATGAAGAAACACCGATAGCTGCGCTTCACCATTCTATATACCACAAAAGCCGCCGGAACAGCAGCGCACAACAGATCAACGTAAAGCTGCAAAGGGAGAGGGTTGTTGTTTTACCGTTCTGCGTCTTCACCCAGTCCTTGAAATGGCGAGTCCGACCTGTTAATGACCTGAAATAGTTGGAACCTCGAAGACTGTTAGGACATCCCCAGCTCTGAGGGTTATCCCAGGAACTTGAGTCATGTGTAGCGGGATAGATAGAGCGTTCATCGGGTAAACGTGAGCTGCGGCTCAGAGTCCTGCTCAAGATCAAGTCGTCTTTCCCCATTTCAGCATTCTAGTGATCACTGTTGAGATCCCCTCCCGTCCGCCTGTCAGCGTCAAGATATTGAAACAGGCTCTAAGCAGCGCCCTCCTAGCCATCAGGTAGGGCTCTGACTCCTTGGATGGGATCTTCCTTGGTGAATGCCGCTGCCACCTGGTCTCTTGTAACCTAAGAATCCGTTTTTTCCTGCGACTACATCAGATACAGTCTCAGGATTTCAGTGTATGAAGAGCTCTTGAAGAAGAATGGCAACCGTGCTTCTCTGGAAACCAATTGATGACGGATCGCCAACGACCTCAATAGGCAGAAAGCCCTCCCCAGAAAGCTTGTTGCGCTGTGGAGACGGAGGGGGGGTGGGAATCAGAAAAGAAAGGCTCTAAAACAATAAGTAGCCTGGACCGACATAGCCCAGTCAGTTACTTGTACACGAGACAGCTTAGCGAGCTCACAGTGGCCATCCAGGGACAGAAATGCAGAAGGGTGGAATCTCCATAACAGCAGCAGCACAACATTCTGCTCTCGCTAACCTCCTTCACTTACAAGAGCTGAGAAGGTTCAAGTCTCGCACTGCCCCACTTTCTCCATCCGACTTTCACTTTGTGGGGAGACTGTGTGAAACAAGGACGAATCGTCGGGCATGGGAAGTTCTCTTGGGGCACCTCCGGTTATACAAAAATGGGAATTTGCTGGTCCAGTACTGTCGAACTTCCGCAGAGCCATTTCTAGAGCCTCGGGAGAATGTTATCATACCCAGAGGTAACAAAGGAGTAAATCACTAGGATAGTGTCTCGTGCCTAATTCATGAATGGAAGCGTTTATAATTTCAGGACTCAGAATCGCGCTTCAGGTTTCACCTCACAAGAGCAAGAGAAACAGATTAAGCATTTCTGCTTGCCATTAGCATTTATGCCACCTGAGGCCAAACCCTAGCGCGACATAGTCAAGTCTATGATATGTGGAGATTAGAACATGCAAGATCTTTCTGGGTGGATTAAACCCTCGCAAGACCGTTCAATTATAGCAGGAAGAGCCTTAAACTTCGAGATGAACATGAGTCATACGTGCTGTTATGAAAATCAAATGCGTAACCTCCTGGAAAAAAAGCTGCCAGTCTTTCCACTGCATCCACGCGCACGTCTGCTCGAACTTATTTGGGAATCATAAGTCCATGCCCAAAGGTGGGAGAGGCGTGACTGTGATTCATCTTTCAACACGGAATTCATGCGTTTCCGTTCCCGTGGCGACAACGACGTACTTCTTTGGACCTGCACCAAAACACATTAGATAGGGAAGGGAGGAGGGGGGGAATAAAGTTTCTCCGTGATCACGTCCCTTTGAGGATGCGCACGCATTCTATCTCTCCATCAGAATCGGTAAGGAGCTTATTGAATGATTGCCTATACACATGATTGGCTAAGTGGCTAGCCGATGTAGCAAGTCAGTGTTTTATCCTCCCAGACGAACCTGTAATAATTTACACGTTCCCGAGTAGAAGGCTAAGGTGGTCTTGGCGGGTCGACCCGCGCGCCGCTTGTTACTACACGAACCCTTCGCGCTCAACACCATTACAATATCTAATAGTCGCGATATCTACCAAGCACAACCGCCGCCTACCTTCATGAATGCTCAGCCACATCCTGGTCAGTGGCCCTCCCATCTTAGGGCTAGCTAAGAGTATATGTCCCTACATGTCAAAACTTGCTCCAAAATGTATTCGTTACTGAGTAAAACATTATGTTGTGCTGTTCTAAACAATGCAGCTTAAACTAACACGTTAAGCGAATTGCGTAGGCGGTTGAACATGTTACGCCTGCTGTTTGCACGCGTGTAACGTGGTTTCCAACAGATTAACATGTTGTGCACGCCTTTTTGTCGGCGTACGTCTATGTCCCTTATCAAAGTATTATGGGTTGGATTACATACGTGATAGATTTCATAAAGAATCGAGGCGATTGGAAAAATTTCGCGAATTTCAGAAGACGCCTAAGAGCCTGCTGACGACTTACTCTAATATTGCATATGCTTATTATAATAATTAGTTCTATAATTTTGCTTTCAGTGCAAATTTTGGCTTCGCAAAACGTCACCAGCGCTATTCGGCTGCAAGGTAATCTGCACTTCCGCTAGTTCATAGCTAACTGGCAGTAACTCCTGTGAGCTGTCGTGAATGTCACAAGGGACCTAGGGCGGTTAGAAATAGCAGTCCCACGACAGGGTGGGCGTGCATTTTTGTACTTCTGCCTACTCCCACTGACGTGTGAGCCTGTCTAGTGATGGCCATTTATGAGCTTACTCCAGAGTGAATGTGTCAAACCATGTGGCTAAGACAGCTCTTCACAATAGTTCACAGGTTTCACCAGAGTGAGACCTTGTGAACCGAAACTAGATCACGAAAGGCAAACTCCTCCTGTCGCCGCACTGCGCCGGGTACAGTTTTACATGGACTCCACACGGTAAAGCCTGAATAGGCTTCGATGATATCCAATTGGTGCGCAAACCAAAGCAGCGCCCGACACCCTGTAGTATTAAAGGCCTGATAATGGCATACGCGCGGGTTCCACAGCAGATGTCCCTTCTCAGCAGGCTCGTCCAATGCTGAAAATTATTTGGACCTTATTGTGACAATTTTGAACTCTTCGCTCTTGTTAAATCGTTTAGCTCCTACAGTTTCATGCCTAGGTCTCACTACTTACTGCAGGCGACCGCGGATTACTACATCGGGGCTGACGCCTACGCAAACCCAATTATGACTGCTTCCTTGTCGTGATTAACCCGGCGGATGGAGATGTGTTGATGGTGAGCTAATCTTCAAGAAAATAATGCTATCGTGAAGACCATAATTACGTTAAATTCTTAGCGGATATTGGTGTGTTTGTCTAGCTAATCAGATTAGAATCGTGCCACAACCAAATAGAATGGGATTTTCCACACAATTAAATTTTATGCATCATATTTGGAAGGAACGACCCAATCTTCCGCGGGCCACCGTGACTATACGGTGACCTGGAAGAGTCTCATGAAGAGACCGAGGCAGACCAAAGCTTGTTGAGAACGAAGGTGGAAGCTGGGGAATTTGGCATTTCAAAAGCTCGTTTATTAGGATAGTGCGACATTCCCTATACAAAGACTGGGGTTTTCCAGCAGTGTTTTCCGGACTTGCTCTTTCGGACAAATCTGATATTCAGTTACCTTCCGGTAGCGTACACGGCGGACAAAACGCTTAGCTGAGTTTGATGGGTTCCGCTCGAGTCATCCATTTCAGTGTGGCACCTCGCGCCCTGCAGTGGTACGGGGTACGATTAATTAACTAATCTAAAATCGAAACGCCAAGCACAGGGAGAAGCTACCTGCATGAGCAAGCTATTCGTGAATTCTTTTACCGCGGAGGGCGCTCTAACGGATATCCAACAGACTTTACCAATTAGAAAGACCGCTTCCTTACTTGAAGGCACTTATCAGTATTAGCCGAGTCGGCGGAGGAGGGGGGGGGGCAGTTCTCGCCTTTGGCTGAAACGGCTGTAGCAAACTGCAAGCGCGTAGCTACTGGTGCAGTGCCGTGCAGAGGAAGGTTTGATTGGTCCCCAGCAACTTTGGCTCATTTTTCCTTCATTCCTCAACTATTCAGCACCTCTGCTCCTTCAGAATGACGGTCGAACTATAGTGCTTTATGCCTTCAACGGCATCTATAGGACACAAACCGCTTGAAGATTCAAGAAGGACTAACCTTGGTTTTGCATGAGCCGGTCGAGTCCTTCAGAGACGAGAATGCCGAGTTGAGCAAGCAGGGTGCTGCTTTCGCTAAGTTGGCATAGCAGCAAGTCCTGCTGATCTCCGCCGTTGGCAAGGATCTGAAAAAGGGAGAATTAACATCAAACTTATATTAGTCCCTGAAAATAGCAGATTCACTATTGCCTGGTTAGATAGAATTATATTGGAGAATGATCGATTCCTACGTGCCGGAAATTGTGTTCTCGCGGGTAACCCATTTTTGAGAAACGTACATCCGTTTTAGGAGATGTTTTCTTCTATGGTAAGCGTCTAGCATCACCGCTTTCATTTTTTTTTTGCAAAACGTCCATATATATGGGCTGGAGTGAGATAAGAAACCGTCGCAAGAAACAGAGGAATGGCTTTGGGGTGCGCCATGCTCTCCACTCCTTCAAAATCTCCAGAGTTCATCCCGGTAAGCATCCTGTTCAGTCATTCAAACCTTTCGTAATCAGTCATGGGTTGAGGAGGAAATAGCTGCACCTTTTTTTACTTTCTTTTTTCTAAACTATCTCAACGCACTTAGTGATAAAGCGGCGATCCCATAGCTACCGTGCCTACCCTTTCCCTTTTACTAAAAAAAATTTTGAATGTATTCATCTGAATGTGTATTAACAATGTGAAACTCCAAAAGTTTATTCCAAAAAACTCAAAAGACAGCAAAAGTCTCAAAAGTTTTTTAAAATATATCTTATCTGGCTATATTTCGGTGCGTAGCACCTTCTTCAGGCCTGAAATTATTTAGCTTGTTTTATGCAGAATATAAGCCTACAGAGATGTAACCCGCACGGACTCCTCCCATACTCCGATAACTTCATTTGGAATTATTTCTACCGCTTCATCCAAAATCATGCCAATCATTTTATTCATAAAAATCTGATTAGAATAATTCATGCATCAACGCTTTTTTCAAGCATCACATTGCCTCACGACCGCTATTAGCAAAGTACCCGGCTTGAAGTAGGACCTGGCGGTACCTAGTGATCACCAGTTGCAGGAAGGACAGCTGTATCGAGGGGTGTCCTTTTCTGCCTTTTTCTTCACTGACGGCTGGCACCGACACTTTTGCTTCCGAATCCAGTTGTCCACGATTCGTGGACGCGGAATAGGTTCTTTAGTCCTCGATAGCCAAACATAGCCGTCTTTGAGAGTTAAATTTTGCAGGAACGCTAATCGGAATATTCCAGCAAATTTGGAAGCTTCAGAGTCCTCGGGGTTTTTTGATAGAGCTGTGCTCGAAAAAACAGAGTCATTCATTAGGTAAGATGTCGGCAAGAAAACAACGCTGAAAATGGCAGTTCAAGCTTAAAATCAATTCATCCCTGAGGTTGTTTATTCCCGTCAGTAAACAACAACACTGGTTAATGCAGTTCAGTGCCTAACAACCCGCAACAAAAAATTTTGGTTACAGAAATATCGGCTTATTTTCTCTTCTTACAAATGATGAGCGGAAGGTATAGAGGTCAGCTGAACTCGTAGTAGAAACTCTAATGCGGTTTCTAACAAATGGACGATCAATAAGAGCTTTCACAATAGGAGGTCTTGCGCAGAAGTGCTATTCAGGGCACATTATAAATTGGGGGTTTTGATCGAGTCCATGCAATCCCTCCTCTTGGTTCCGCTCTCCGATGCGTTCGGGCAGGTTAACGGGTGGTGGGGGGGGGGGGGGGGAATACAGCACATGTGAAACATGAAAAGTCAGGCAACAGGGAATATCGGTAGAAGTTCTTTCCAACGCCGCAAATTCCTCTGGGAAGGGAAATGCGTTCCCCCCTCCCTCCCGACCACGATCAATTGTGACCCTATGTGAGACAATCCCTAACGATCATGTGCCTGGTCCTATTTCTGTTGCGAATAACTTGAGATCGTGAGACTTCTTAATATTTCACACGTCATGCCCACTGGAATTGCAGTTTTTTCAAGCAAAAAATCCGATTTTCGCACTTTCCTTGAATTTTCGCTTTTTGCGTCACTTCATGACGTTCATGGGTGAAATGTGGTCAGCAGGTCGGGGAAAAACGGATGTGCACATAAATGTATTCCTCGACCTATAGGATATTCCTAGACATCGTAAAGCTTCCACACTACTTAGGAATTAGTCAGTAGTTAACGCCGACGTCAACGCACGCGCATGCTCCATGTAATTTTTGGCCACATGCAAAATTGCGATTTTTGGCCCCAACCAAAATAGTGTGGCTTTTTACAAGGCAACGTAGAACTACGCGCTGATGATTCAAGCAATGCGTACGTCACTAAACGGAGACAGACGTGTCTGACTAAGCCTCAGCGAAGAACGCACTTTACCACTTTGTTTCTCCTAATTTCCGTAAACTTAACTAAGCCAAAATAAACATTTCACAGGGCGGGGGGGATGATTACAGCGAAGAAAAGCGCCTTAACTTTGTTTTCTGTTCAATAGAGAAGACTTCACACATAAATTAGACATTGGCACTATCTAGATGGAAAGAGGATAGTTCATTAGCAAAGGGTTGAGAAGCCAAGGATTCAGAGATAGTGAGGAGCTCACAAATACTTAGTTTCAGCTCTCTTCACTCTCTAACGTTCCGACGTCACCTTCTAAAGGCTTGCAGTGGGCCATTGAAAATCATTCTTTGCAGAATTTGGGATTTCCCTCTCAAATGGGGATTCTCATTATATTAAGCTTCCTGCAGTGAAGCAGCGCACAATTAGTTCGGATAGAAATCTATTTATTAGTTTTGGTCGCATTAGTTCAGCAACAATATTACATAGTAAGACTGAAGAGGGCTAAAGGGGTAAGGGGGCGTAGCCGCAGATCGGCTTGGTGAGGTCTCCAGATAGCACTGGGCGAGGCTTGTACGAAACTCTTTGACTAGTGTGAATTATGGTAACCGAAGTGGCTCATTTGTACTATTTCGCAGCTCCCTAAGGCTACAGCTCTCGAAAAGTAAGACTTGACAGTCGATGGCAACCAACAGAATGCTTCACCCTTCCTAAGCCGAGCAGAGCCGAG